TTTTTCTGGCCTTTGTGTTATTTTCGACCCGAAATCGCAAAGAATGCATCAGTTTATTCCTAAAGCTAAAGTCCGCTCATTGAATAACAGATCAGACCACCATGCAATACTTGATGAATTCAAACCATCTCATAAAACTCAATAAAGTCCATCGGGATACCACCGGTCCTCCCTCCTCGTTGTCCTGTTAACACATCAACCTTGCCATTCCACTAGTCAACACTGAATCAGTGGACAAATACAACACAGCCTTCATGACGAGTGTTGTCGCCTTACCCCTAGTCTCTCTTTTGGGTCACACATTAAAAAGAAAATCTCTTCTGCGAAGATGGCCCCCAATACTCTTTGGTCGGGTTTCCTTGCACAGAACATGATCCCTCTTTCCAAAAAATATCAGCTTTTTAACTCTGCTTCTAGATCTATTGCCTGCTATGGTTCACAAATGTGGGGATATCAGAGATTAGAGAGTGTAGAAAAATTATTAAGATTTTTCGTAAAGAGGTTGCTTGCTTTACCAACGATCACTCCAATTTTATATTATTATTAGAAACTAATGTACAATTTGCATAGAAAATTGCATTTCAAGTACTGCCTCACAGTTCTAAATCTACCATCATTTCGATTTCCGAGAATATTAGCAATTAAAGTAATCAACAGGAGAACTGCATGGTTCAAAACCGGATCAGTCTTGCCGCAAAGCATTCGTGCGAATTCAATCCGGAATTTTCAGACTCGCGAGAAGCATTGGAAAGAAGCTGCGACTAGTGCCATATTGTCGTCCAGGTTCTTATTTTATAAGAAACTTCAATTAAATCAGGGTTGTTTACTGAGAATAACGAATCTCCCAGTAGTTGGTCGAGTCAAGATGGCTGTTCAAATTGTGAGGGGAACTTTTATATCTTAACTACACCCCGTGGATGAACCGAAAAATTACCCAGTGCTCTCTCTGTAACCTAACTGCAAGAGAGGACGTATTTAGCAATATGTCCTGTTCTTGCCGAGTTCCGTATGCGTTACCTGGGTACTTCCAAGCTTACTAAATCCCAGTTCATTTCTCTTCTCGACTCCTATTGCCGAGTTCAGTATGCGTTACTTGCGTACTTCCAAGCGTACTGAATCCCAGTTCCTTTCTCTTCCCGACTCCTATTGCCGAGTTCCGTATGCGATACCTGGGTACTTCCAAGCTTACTGAATCCCAGTTCATTTTTCTCCTCGACTCCTATTGCCGACCTCTTATTAAACTTGCACGCATTGCGTGGCATTATAGATACTTCCTAGTACAGCAATTCAATTTTTAAACATTCTCACTCGTTCTTAACAATGGTTTGCATGACAAACCAAAGGAGATACATTTTTCAATTTAAACTAAAAACTAACTCATTTTGTTTTAATCGTGGTACAAATGTTTGATTGGTAGGAAGTCAATTGCTGCCGGATAAAATGTAGTTTTGTTCCATTCCATCATTCTGGCCTGCCTATTTTCTCTGTTTTGATCTGCGAGACTTTTCACCGCCTTCAATGATGAATTTTGTCCTTACAATAATTCACAGGAATACATGAAATTGCCCACAAACCACTGAAGATGGCGAAGTGCCGTGTCACATCTGACAAGACCAAAACAGCGAGATGCGAACCGGGACGATCGTAAATGGCCAAAACGCGGGTTCATCGCCCCTCGGGCACCGAGGAAAAGAAATCTCAGAATTTTGACAAATGTCGATGCCCAGAGTGCATTAAGGTGAAACCCTCCGCACCGGGTGATGCCAGGTCAGGTGAGTGCAGAGAGGCCGGGATGCGATGTGGCCTTGCCAAGGTCGAGTCAACGCCCTTTCCTCGCTGCTCGCCCGATGCACACAACCGCACGCACCACACACGCACGCACACGCTCTCTTCTTCAAACCGGACAACTCTGATAAATTCCACGGTGGCGGTTCCCCTCCGATAATTTAATTTATAAATTATTTACCAAAAAAACTAAAAAATAAAATCTTATGATTACCTTAACAACGATGTCAACAGAATATTTATAATCCTTAGCCATAATCAAGAAATCAAATTGGAATTCAATACTGTCCTCTTATGACACAGAGTATAATCAAAAATTTAATAATACGCAAAGATAATCCTGCCAAAATCAATTGATTCCTTTTTTAGTAGCATTTATTAAGTACATTAATGCGCCAATGACACATCATGCAAATTTATCTACTAAAAAATTTTTTTTTAATATCTGTCAGCCAATAAATAAAGCTGAACCTTCAAGCAATTCAATATGGTATTTTTACATTTTTTTCACCAATTTTATTTATTTTAGCATTAAGCAGAAATTACACATTAATATATAAAATAGGTAAAATCATAATTAAAATAAAACAAATAATACAAGTATGATTATTTTACATCAACAACATTATGTATTAAAGTCAGGCTATAGGTACTCTAGAGGAAATATCCTACTTTAGATATTGTTAAGGGATGGATCGAATTTGTGTAAATTTGTATGTGTGATTATCAGGCATTAGGTCACAGAAAACATAGAAACTCCCAACTTCATACCAAGCTTTTGTTTAATTTGTAAACCTCTTCAGGGCTGAGTAGTTCACAATTGCTTTATCAGGTACATACATAAATGGTTATAAAACCTTGATAATAAATAAATGACATATAAAAACAACAATTAAAATATCAAAAATACTAAAAACACTAACAGATCATTCAGCCCTGAAGATGTTTACGAATTAAAGGAAAGCTTGGCATGAAATTGGGAGTTGCTATATTTCTGTGACCTAATACCCGATTATCACACATACAAATCCTATTTTATGGCCTCAATTGTTTTAAATTGTAATCATAAAACATAGAATTGGATAATTATTGGACCTTTAATTTAAATTAAATAAGCAGTTGGGCCAAATGCATTTTTTTTTTTTTTTTAATTCACTGTATTATTCAGTTTGAGAATTTAGTTACTTGAAGAGGAATTCTTTATTTATTTTGCAATTTTCTTAAAACTAAAGTCATTTTTTACTTATACGGCAAGTTTGTGGGCTCATCTAGGGGCTTTGTAGGACTTTTTAACATTAATGAGGTTTTAGGTTCAGGAAATACATACGACATTGGGTTCCTCAATTTAAAATTTAACGTTTTGCGTTTGTCCATTTTATTTCCCCAATGTTAAAAAAATTTCCCAACGCTCTATATACATAAAGATAATGTAGTGTATTCTTCTTGAAAAATTAGAAGCAAAAGTCCTATTCTCCCCTTGTAAGACAAAGCTTTAACAATTATTTTCGGTGCTTTAACTATGGGATCTTTAACATTGGCATATGCACCTACTCAGCAAACCCGACTGTACCGAGTATGTGGCTGAACAAGAGCATAGTAGACCTTGAATAAAAGATCATGATCGCATTTGTTCTGCCAAAAATAAATTTGCCACAGCCCAAACTGTAATTTCTTCGGACCTCATCAATACAGGAAAACCATTTTAATATTTCATTGGTAATTTAGTATTTTATATGATTTGTTTATTTAATGCACAATTGATTACAATCTCCTCTGAAACAACTGAATCTAATAATCACAAGAAGGAGAAAAGAATCAGTTATGTGTACAAACCTTAAAAATACACCTCTTTGATTTCAAAGTGACAATGTTATGATTTAGATTTCGTGATTAGGCCTAGAGTAAAAAAATAAAAGAGGATAGGGAAGAGATAGTCGAGTCATCCTCAAAAGTGTTGTATTCCCTAAAATAGAGTGCTTCGGTCCACTGCGGATTGACTGGAAATAGTGAGTACATATTCACCCTTGTTCTAAATGGTCTGGCAAATGCTTTGTAGGAAAATACTGTTTATTTCAATTTATAAAAAGTTTTAATTGTTTGTTTAAAATTTAAAAAGAAATTTATTGGTTTTAATTATTATTTTCTTGTGTGTTTAATAAATTGTTTTTAAACTTTACTTAAATTTTATTATAAAAAGGCTCCTGATCGGCTGTATTCAGGTTCGATCAAGACCTCTGGGGCTCTGTTTCTCATAAAAAGGATTCAGAGTTGGGCCCGTCTTGTTGAATCGAGAACGGATCGTGACACATACATTACACCACCAATTCTTTCAGTATTGTCAAAATAAAAACTTAATTGATAAGGTTTTCATCCATATTCATAAAAATGAACATACAATTAATCATAAACTATTCATTACACCACCAAATAACTTTTCTTTTTTTTTAATATAAATCACTGGGGAGGTCTAAAGATTCCTTGTTAACACCGTAATGGATAAATCACGTACTTTTATATGATACTTATTATACGTTTTTAATAAGCAGGTATCTCTATTATTGTCCTATAATTAAATTACTAGCAAAGTTGTCACTAATATAATTAAATAAGACTATTAATATGTATATTTTTTACGTAATTTTTTAAGCATTTGTGAGAGATATTTTGTTGACTAACACCACTGAAGATGGAGAAAGGCCAAAATGGGTCCAACAGAGCAAAACAGCAAGGATAGGCAGAATGATTTTGGTAGGAAATGACCAAGCTACAGGTTCATCACCCGACAGACCTCAAGAGGAAATCTCACAATTATTACTTACTACCTTGCATGTTTATACATCTCATAAATTTAATTTGCATAACAACGAAGGACACTAGAAAAAACAAATAGAGAAATTCAAGATTTTTAGTTTTTCACCATGTAAGATTGAACGTTTTTCCTAAATTACTAGAGATTTTTATAAAAATTCTCATATAAAATAATGATCAGGAATGATTACAATTATCGACCTCACAACATACAACAATCTATTACTCCCTAATACGTATAAAGGTAATTTAAATGTCTGTTAAATTGTATTACATTATATACAAATATTTAAATTAGCCTAATAATTTAATAATTATAAGCAAAGGTGGAATTATGAAATGCTGAATAATCGGCAATTAAGTCGCGAAAGCAATTTTTTTTTTTTAAACTAAAACATAAGACTTACCTTTTGGCTGGGTTATTTCAATGGCGAACATGTTGAGTGCAAAGAGTTGTAAAAACCGGGTGGAATTAAGCGGAATAGGAGAATGCTGCAGGAGTGCCCTGAACTCTCTTAACATCTGCTGAATCGTCTCCGACAGGCTTTCCAATCTGAGAAAACAAAAATAACATTTAATAAATATTTTCATCAAGAAAAAATCTTCTTAAAAACACTCACCCAATTTTGGTGAAGATTTTTCCGTGAACGTGAAGATAACTCATGCAAAACCTTTTATTGACCTACAAATACAATATGATGAGGTAACGAAAATAAACGAAGGGTTTGTTTTAGCGTACCTCAATATTTGTTGCTGCGTACAATTCTTCGTCGGCTGAATCGATATCAGGCTGACAAGTTGATGTCGTTCTATGTACATTTTTACCTCCTCCTGGGTGAATCCAGATTTCCTTCCTGTAGCCCCCGCCTCCTTCTTTTTCTTTCATTTTCTCCCTTTCCTTCCTCGCCCTATCCTCTTTTCGCTTGCGGTCTACAGCTTCGTACTAAGAACAACATTTACTGTATTAGCAATTCAAGAAACAGCAAGATTTCGTGTATACACACATATCAATTTAATATTTATATTTAAAATCTGCATTGATTTTTTTTTTCTTTAAATTAGCTAGACAAATCAACCAACTTTTTATTTGACAACATGCTGTTTTCCATGCCATGCCAATTATTGTTTATTTTACTTATCAAATATCTGTTTAGTATATCTTAAATACTATTTCCTACAGAACAAACAAAAATTTTTCTATATACAATAGCATATATTTACATCCAAACAATTTCTATATACAAGAAGTAAACTACATCAAAAAACTCATCTAGTTTATTTATAATATAATATTCATCTCCCAACTAAAAATGTAAAATACATTTCTTACACTAATTTTTAAACTTTAAAGGCTTTCTAGATACTGTTGTTTGGAAAGGTTGAATTTATGAATTAATTTCAATCGTCAAAATCGCTTAATAATAAATATTTATTTACCAATAAATATAAAGAAATATCTTAAAGATATCGTCAATACGATTCAAGCATACATTAGTGTGACATTCTGCAAAATCATCTTATCAAATAACAACAATGAAAAAATTATGTAGAGATCATGAGATGCGGTCTGGTGTGATATAAGTTTAGAAAAATCTTTTCTTTATCGTGCCAACGTATCGATCTTTATTGAGATCATCTTATCTTCAGGACCTGGGATTTATAAACATTGTTTAAATTACACAAATGCATGTAAGATGTGATCATTATACAATGATGTACACAATGTAGAAATTTTAGGTTTAATCAAAGCATTTGTACTCACTCAAAGTGTGTGTTTTCTGTGTAAATGTGTCATGTATTTGAATAATTTAAACAATGTTTATTCCCAGGCCCTGAAGATGATCTCGACAAAGTTGGCACAATGAAGAAAATGTTTTTCTAATCCTACATCACACCAGACCACATCTCACAATCTCTAATAATCATTAATTAACTGTCACTAAATACTACACAATGAAAAATGTTTTTAAAGCCAAAATTAATTATCAATAGAAAACAACAATGTAATGAAAATAGGAGGACCATAAATACAGATCAGTTTCAATCAACATTTTGGCAAAAATCAAATGGCACTATTTGTCAGCTCTCAAATATAAAATAAATCAAATAACTGACTGATTGGTTATACATTTAAATTGAAAAGATACTTTATAAAAATAATGGGGTAGGTATACACCTAAACCCTCCCAAGGCAATCAAATTTCTCTCAATATTGGGTGTGTGCATCAGTTTTTTTTTCCTTCCCCTTCGGTTTTCAGAAAAAGTCAAACTTTCAAAATATAAATTTACTTTATTTTTAATCCAAAACATGATTTCCTTTTCTTTCTATAACACACAGCCAACATTCTGTTAGCAAAAATATCCCCTTTAGGTAAAACTCTGATGACAATCGAAAAGAAATCTGTAAGTCTGATTTTCAAAACTTTTCATTTTAAAAATTCCAACCTGTTAAGTTGTCACCTAGGAAGTGGAACAAGTAAAGCCAGGAACACACTTACCCGATGCAACGTTATGCGACGCTACCCGACACCTTGCACGTTTTGGTAGGGTGTGCACTTCTGCCTGACTGCGACATAACACGTCCAATCACACAACGTTTATCACAAATCAGATCACAATCGCAATGCCTCTTTTGTTATTAATGCACTATTTTGAGCAAAACCTTGCAATAAATTGTTAGTTAAATGTTATGAGCACAATCATGTAATAAATTGTTTGTTGTTTTAAATAGTTATTCCGGTGTTTTGATAAATTTTGTGCCTAACCATCAGAATTAAATAATTTTTATACAAACATGAATTTTTGACCTCGTTTAATTTGGTTTACATTAAAATAGGAATGTTTTAATTAATATAATGACAAAATTACATATACATAGTTTGAAATAAAGTACAAAAAATGTGAGTACTCTGTTCTGAAGCTACTCGACGAAAATGGTGTAATTTGATGAGCAAAACCATGAAATAAATTGTTAGTTAAATTTTATGAGCAAAACCATGAAATACATTGTTAGTTAAATTTTATGAGCAAAACCATGAAATAAATTGTTAGTTAAATTTTATGAGTACAACCGGGAAATAAATTGTTAGTTAAATTTTATGAGCACAATCATGTAATAAATTGTTTGTTAAACTTAATTGTTTTAAATAAAGTTATTCCGGTGTTTTGCTAAATTTTCTGCCTAACCATCATAATTAAATAATTTTTATACAAACATGAATTTTTGATCTCGTTTAATTTGGTTTACATTAAAATAAGAATGTTGTAATTAATATAATGACAAAATGACATATACTTAGTTTGAAATAAACTACAAAACGTACGAGTGCTCTGTTACATGAAAATGGTGTAATTTTATGTGCAAAACCATGAAATAAATTGTTAGTGAAATTTTATGAGTAAAACCGTGTAATAATTGTTGGTTAATTCACTGTTTTTGTGGTCCGCTTGACCAATTAATATTTTTTAATTAATTAAAGTTTTTGAGATAAAAAAGTCAGTGTCACGAGCAGGATTCGAACCCATGATCTGTCACGATTGGCTAGATACGCTGCTGCTCTACCACTTGAGCTATCGTGACTTCGATCCACTCAGCCACTAACTTCCCATCTCAACCCCGCCTTTTGAATTTTCCCTCCGTCCATCTCGCTCATGACACTGACTTTTTTATCTCAACTAAAAACCTTAATTAATTGAAATATATTAACTGGTCAAGCGGACCACGAAAACTAGTGAATTTAATAAGTAAAAATGTATATCTTCACTAAAGCTCTCCGTGGCCATTTCATTTGTCGCCGAGAATCAAATAGATTACACGACACTTGAAAAATGGCAAAAAGGAGGAAAATTCAAACGGTGGGGTTGAGATGGGAAGTTAGTGTCTGAGTGGATCGAGGTCACGATAGCTGAAGTGGTAGAGCAGCGGCATATCTAGCCGAAGGTCGTGGGTTCGAATTCCCGCTCATGAAAATGACTTTTTATCTCAATTAAAAACCTTAATTGAATTGTTAGTTAAATTCATTATATCAAAAAATGGTATTCCAGTGTTTTGATCAATTTTCTACCAAACCATTAAAATTAATTTTTTTAAATAAAACTAATGAATATTTTATCTCGGTTAATTTGGTTTATATTAAAATAAGTATGTTGTAATTAATATAATAGCAATAATACATGTAGTTTGAATAAAACTATGAGTGTCCGGTTCTGTCGTCTTCGACTGTACTCGATGCGACCCGACGAAAATCCGAACAGTGGGGATCGCAGAGCATAGAGTAGGGTAGCGTAGCATAGCATCGGGCAGATGTGCACGGGGTAATACAATCTTATGGAAAAATGGACTTTGGATTTCTGTCGGGTAGTATCAGGTAGCGTCACATGTTGTGTTCCCAGCTTAAAAATTGGAAAGGGCAAGGTCTGGAGAGTATGGAGGGTGGGAAAACTACCGCCAGCTTAACCCTGTGATTTTACTCTGAGTGAGTGCAGATGTGTGAAGCCTGGCATCATCATGGTGAAACACAACGAAGTGTCTATTTACCAGGGCTGGACTTTTTCTTTCATTGCTGACCTACGCCTTGGCTGTGCACAGTATACCGCCATAAGGGTTTGATTTCTTGGTAAGGGTTATTCTATTACAAGAAGCAGCGTTTCAAAAGTCTCCTTCCTCTTGTTTTCAATTGTTTCTATATTGCATTTGAAACACAGGCTAGAAAAGTAAGATCATGTATGACAGATGTGTATGAACCTCGCATTTCAGAGTAGTTAGTCTCAAAATGAACCCTCTTCAGGTAGGGTTTCAGGGATTTTAAAGTTGAAACAACTTTTTAGAAAAATGTTCTAACATTTTGATATACAGTAAAAATCGTTTAAATGAACACCGGTTGTAAAAACATATCGATTATAAGAACGAAATTTCTAGTTCCCGGCTAGCTTTAATGCAACTTAATGTATATAACATCTGGTTTAGTGACCTAAAGTTATTGTATTTCTGAGAAAACGAACCTTTTGTAAGAACTTCATGAAAAAATAACAGCACACAGCAGAAAATAAACACTTCAAAACTGGGCTCAAGATTTGCCCATTGAAAACAGTTTGATTCAAGGATATGAAGACGTAGACTTAAATCTTACTACCCACGGAATCATCCCAAATGAAGAAATTGTTGTAGGGGTCAAAGCAGAAGAAAATGATTTAGAAGAAGACAATGCCATAACATATGATTCAAGCGAATTTTCGTGCCCCACTTTGAAAGAAATGTTCTCAGCTATAAATGTGGTAAATAAATTTTTAACATGTAATGACAATTTTGCAGAGGAATCTATGAAAATGACAGTGAAAGAACTTGTCACCATTACAGAAAATGCTTTTTACATTCATTTTAAAAAAATTAACAAACCAATATTACAGACTATTTTCAGTTTTGCAGTAAACAAAATTTTTGTGATTAATCTTTTTTTTAATCTTAAAACCTAAACAATGATAATTAAACAGGGCTTGAAATTCGCAAACGCTTTTTAGTTCCAAACTTGTTACTAAATGGGATTGCTAATTTCAACCCCTTAAAAGTAGTTCCAGAGGAATGACCGAAAGAGCCTTCAACTTTCAAAAAATTGTTCAATAATTAAACAGAAAAAAATTGATTATCAGATGTAGCAACTATCGGGCTTAAGAACCAATTTCAGACGGTCGCTTGGATATTCTTATAAACGATTTTTGCTGTATGATGAATATTTGATAGAAATGATGAAGGAGGGTGAGTATGTAGATTCACTTTTTGTAAATGGTGGTTTTACTTACAGATTTGTTGTTTACAACAATACCAATTTCAAGCATTAATGCTCATCATTGAGTTGAAAAAGTTACAAACTTTTATAAGAGAGACTCTTATCAATTCACATTGAGGGATGTGTTTATAACTCCTTCAACCTGATGATGAGCGTTTAATGCTCGAAATTCGGTCGTTGTAAACAACAAATCTGTGAGTGGAACCATCAATTACAAACAGTGGAAAAAAATTCCACTTCCACCGCTTCAACGATTTCTGACAATCATTTTGTCATTTCTCTATTTTAAATATAATGCCCTCAATATCTACCAACTTTTTCCCATATTCCCTACCCCAACGCACCAATCATATTTCAAGCCACTCCTCTAAAACTTTAGCCTTATCCTGCAGAATTGCAGGGGTAAGACTAAGGAATTTGCTTCCCTGGGAAATACGTTCTGCTTCCTCGCTGGCTTGTCCATGGTATCTGAGTTTTAAAAATTACATTAATAATCTTTTCTTTCTTCATTTCCTTTTACATTTTTTCACTTCTTCCTTTCCTTTCGCAGTGTAGTTTCATCATTCAATTAAAAATACAATAATTAATATTTTAAAGAATCTAAAATATTATCATTATTGTTTTGTACATTTTATCATTACTATTATTAGCATTTTTGAGCAATTATTCTCTATGTTTTAATCAAAATTAATAAAACAGAAAATAAAAAAAATAAACTTTAATGTGTTTTGACCATAAAAAATTTCAATTATGGCAAGTAATTTATTCATAACAAATAAAAACAAACTGCTTAAAACTAATATTTTTTCACAGAATATCGTCTTAGACCACAGACTTAATTCATAAGGTGAAAATAAAAATTCCCAAAAATCAAGTAAACCTTTTAAAAGAAGTCTTACTCTCAAAGCGTAATGCTTGTCTCTCTCCTTTGAAAGACATAAAATAGAAATAAGTAATAAATTAAACATTCGTCAGAATTTACAAAACAAAGCCCTAATCATCTTTTATAATTAATCAAATGCAAAAGAAAACTGTTCAACACAGTCTGATTAAATTGATAGTATAGCTTACCTTTTTCCTGTTGTCGTCGAAGAGCAAGTTGAGGCTGTCTTTCGCCGTTACCATCGGATTTGAAGACATGAGGCATCGCATGTAATAATAAACAGCATCCAGCCTTCTTTTCTATAATACAAAAATACAAATTAAATTTAACAATTAAGATACAGTATAAATTATACCCTTACAGTGTACATAGCGAGTATAGCTAACTGGTTGTATGGGCGACCATTTTTTGGGTTGATTTGATGCGCTTTCATATACCACCTATAAATAGAAAGACCCGTTAAAAATCAATAAAACAAACGTAAATAATTGTAAAGAGAAGACGTACTGTCTTGCCGCGCCGTAATTGGTGGCATCATTGGCTTGTTCTTTGTACCTAGCGAGATCTCCAAGGCATAGATAAATCTTTTGCGCTGCGATTAAAACCAAACCAATGTGGCCCAATCCTTCTCTTACAAAACTGGGAGCGTTGAGGTATTTGTCCAAATTTATTTTATTAGCGTTTTCTAAATCTTCAAGCAAACGCTCGTAAAACTCCGAGCCCTAAAAATAAAAAGACAGAAATTAAAACAGTCTATTACAACATACTGTCATTTGAGCTGTAATGTAAGTTTAAACTTCAAAGGTGCTTGAGGGAGTCAATAGCCACAACAGTTAAGGCGCAGACACATTAATCACTGTAAGGTAATGGCCTAAAAATCCGGCTGCCCTGCGTTTGAACCCGTCATATTTACAAATAAGTTTGTTTGTTTTTTTTCCAAAAACATTGATAGCCCGAGGGTTGGTATGACCTCTGCTGTTGCATTAAATAAAAATAAATTTAAAAAAAAAGCTTCAGAGGAGGAATTCAACTACAATACAAAAGACCTAACATTCAACAGGGGTTATTTCATTATTCAATTTAAAGATGAGGGACTTGGTAACTACGAAAATAATGTTTTATCTTGTAAGAAAATTAGATTCAGAAGTTTATAACAATGATGACTGTGAGCTACGGGATCACAGTGAGGAGTTTATGACAAATTAGCAAAAGATTACAGTTAAAAACCTTCAACCAGAAAAGTACATGAAAAAGGGTTACAAACCATGGAAAAGATTAACTAGGAATCAAAACAAATTGATGATTATCAGACAAGTTTGTTATATTTTGTCATGGCGTAATCTGAACAATTAATTAAGGTTTTGGTTAAAAGTCAAGTGGTAGAGTAGCAGTGTATTGAGCCGAAGGTCATGGGTTCGAATCCCACTTGTGACACTGACTTTTTTGTCTCAACCAAAACCTTAATTATTTGAAAAGAATTTATTTGGTCAAGCGGACCATGAAACCTAATCAAAAATTAACCAGTTAGGCAAGAGCCTGCCTTTCCTTAAGAGTATGCACTTTTTTCTCTTTTTTAATTTATTATTAATTTAATTTAACTTATTAATGAAATGACTGTAAGTAAAAATGATTTGACTAATCCTCATGTAAAATGTTTCTGATAAATGATTAAAACAACACAAACAAATAACAATAAAACCAACATACACACTGCTCTACAAAAGAAGTGGCGCAACTTGAAACTTTTATGTTTTTGTGTACTTGCCTTTTCAATAATATTAACACCTATATTTTTTATAATTCAGATATTTATTAAAAAATTTAGTTAGTGTTAAAATAACAATACCTCTTGGTGGGAAAAAAAAGAAAAATGTGCATTAATATAAAACATAAAACACGCTTAAATACGTATAATTATAATTATTGTATCATTTTTGAAGTACTAAAACAAAAAATATGGCCAAAACATTGTCAAATCAATAAAAAAAACCAAAACTACATTTACAACATGCGATTTTTTTGTGGAGCTGTGTATTTTTAAAAAATAAATAAATAAAATAAAAACCCTACAAACTAATGCCACTACTTATTTTATAATCTACTAACTTTGTTTAAAATTAAAATTCATGTAAATTAATATTACATGTTTATTTATTTACATAGCATATTAGACAAGGAATATGTGTGTCTATTTGATGAAGCATTATATTATGGAGGAAGGGTAACATGAAAAAAAAAGGGCCAGGGAAAACGGTGGGAATCAAACGCATGACCGCGGAGTCAATGAACCGAGCCTATCATGCTAACCACTCGGCTACCGCGGTCCCCTATATTTATTATTGATGTACTCAATGGCAAAAATATTTTTTTATTTACTTCATTAAAAATATAGGACTACTTATATTTTATTAATTTAATTTCTTCACTTTGCAATTTTGTAATAAAAAACATACCTCATCAATAATTGTAATTAGCGCCATTTTGTATTTTTCTTTCATTTGTGGATTCTCGGTTATGAACTTTCTCAACAATTCAATAATATTGTAGTACAGGATCTTCCACAAGTGTTGTTCGACGTTTTCCGCTTGGCAAAACCTCAGATCAGTTAGAAGCATTATTTTCAGCTGATCTTTAAGGTAAAACCTACAACAACAACAAAACAGTTTGTAATTTCCAAATTGTCGCGCAAACATTCTGTGGTTGTACCTGAGTCGCTGCAGTTGATCCCAATAATGAAGGATCGCCTCGCCTGTGCCGAGCAAATACTGGAGTTCACAATCAGCATGGGCAATCTCACGTATTACATGTGGATTATGAGATTGTTGAAAGCTATAATAAAAACAGTACAAATCAACAGGAATAAAAAATGTTTTAAAAAACTAGAAAATCATAATTATATAAAGAAAATATAAAGGGCTAGACAATTTTTAATGATGTTTATACAATGATTTAATGACAAATTACCAATTTTCAATTAATGAGTTGTAGTTTGGTTGTTCCTTAACATTTTCTATCTTTTCTTGATGTTTTGGTCAGTCAGAGACATTTGGCTTCCCGCCATCTTCAATACCAAACATGGCACAAAACCAAAATACGTCTGACTGACCAAAGCGAGAATAGAGAGACTAAATTACAGGTTATCACTCAAAAATTTAAATAATAAGTTTAAATATAAAAGAATATGGGAATTTACAACTCACTTTTCTTTATAAGGGTTGTACCATGGAGGGGCTTGTGTCATCATGGCATCGTTGGCAGGTATTAACATGTTTGAAAAGTCTATTGTTTTGTTACTGTTCAGGAAAGGAGAGTCCTGATCTTGGACGCGAGAGGAGGAAACAACAATCGGTTTATCCGGGTTGCAAGGGTCGAACAACTTCCTCTGCACAACAGGCGGATTGTACTTCGGCACTGACGCAAAGGGCTGAGGCAAGACGATGATGCCAGCCTGTTTTCCCTCGTCTTTGTTAGGCAAGTCTAGCCTTCGGTGTGCATCTTCGGTTTGCCTTTTGCCATTTCTGTTCCTATTTCTGTGGTCCTTCCTCTCGGGGCTGTTCTGCCTGCTTCTGTTGTCGCAATACAACTCCTTGCCTCCTGTCCTTCTCGAATGCCTTTCTAAACTGTTTGGCCTGCTTCTATTATCACAAGAGGAATTCTTACGGCTTCCACCTCGCCTTCCGCCGTGGTATCTCTCGGAGCTGTTCTGTCGACTGTTGTCGCAAAATGAGTTCCTCCGGCTTCCTTGCCTCCTGGTGTTCCTTTCCGGTGTGTTGTGCCTGCTTCTTCTTCCAAAGTTTGAACTCTGCCAAGTAGAGTGGGTGCTGTGAGACTTGTCTCTCCAATTTCTCTCAATACTGTTGTTCCTGCTGTGGTTGAAAAGATTTTCAACTGAACCTCTTTGCACATGGTCCCTCTGTCGAGGACGCTCCCTACTAACACTTCTAAAACAAACCATTCACAATTTGTTATGGTTATAACTAGAGACCGGATTTTTATGCAGTTGCATATTTTGTTTGCCACCACATGCAACCAAGGAAATAAATAATCTATCCAAATCATGTATCTTGGAAGCTGTAGGTTAAATTTTATAGAGCATATTCTTGCATATTTGATGAATATCACATACAATTGCATATTTGAACAACATAGCATATTTGAATGGTTTTTATGTAAAATCGCAATTATCATGCAAAATATTTAAAATACTATATTCGTTTTTGGTGGAAGGAAAAACAATTCTATAAAAAAAAAATAACAAGTTGACAAAAGTTGGTTTATTCAAAGAAAACTGAAACAGCCGCAACGACAGGAAGAGAAAATTCTAAAAATACCGACTGAAAAATATGAAACCCTTCTTAGGTCTTATTTCAATATTCAATATTCCCACAAATTTTAAGTGACCGTAGGCACTATTTCACAGAAGACAATTTAGAGAAGAACTTGTTTATTAACATTAATTATACTTAATTAGTATAAAATATATAATTTAAATATGTAAGAAAGAAAATATTTTTGTTAAATGTAAATAAACTCCAGGAGAGTCAGTGGCCGCAACGGTTTAGGCATTGACATGGAGCTCATCACTGTAAAGTAAAGGTCCTGGGTTCGAATCCAGCGGCCCTGCATTCAAACCTAACGTACTTACAAATGGGCTTCATTCAAAAACACCAGCACCCCGAGGGTTCAAATAATGTCGTAGTTGAAATATCCTCGTTTAAAAAAAAAGTTTTAATATCTATTTCATTTAATTATATATATTTCTTGAACATAAGGATCTTCGGTGAGGTCACAACAGAAACGACTATTCTTTAAGTTTTTGCCTAGCAAGAAAATTGTTGTTTCTGTTGTGACCTCAATGAAAATCTTTCAGTTCAAGTTGTTCAAAGAGCAGGTCGATACATCATCTCATCTTTCATATACATTTCTGTTTAAAGTTACTATGATACTAAAAAAAACTGGTTTACTGCATATCCTTGCTATTTTAACGTATTAATACTGCATATTATTACATATTTCAGGGCTTTCACTGCATATTTTATGTTGGCAATTTTTACTGCATAAAATCCGGTCTCTGGTTATAACATATATACTTTTAACGTGTTAGGATAAAATAAGACATACTTTTATGTAATGAAAATAAGAGATTGCCACAACTTTATATATTAACTTATACAAGGATAATCAACACGATTGTCTACTTAATTACTCAATATTGGAATTGGCTTTTGACAAGCCCAGTAAGCTTTAATTTGCTAATTAATTATGACTAAAAAGGGGACAACCAGGTTGGTGGGTCAAGGATTTGGACCCAACTTTTTGCGTGGATTCTTCACCCTATATGCCACTTCTTGTGAATAGGCAGGCCCTGGTTTCGCCAAAAAGTTTTTGAAAGTTGAAATTTGCAGGTTTTCTCCCCCCCCCCCACCATTCTACTTGCTCAAATCAATTATGTGAATATGTCATTTTAAAGGATTTGTTTTGTAGCTTGCATTAAAAATGGTATAGTAAAAGCTATCAAAGTTTACCCACAGCCAATAAATTTATAAAAACCAAATATTTTTCAAGTAAACTATTTTTTTTTTTTTTTTTTTTTCATAAAACATGAAATTTCGTTTTATTTTACTACTTCATTTAATTGCAACTAAAATTAGATTTTGAAAAACTTCATCATTAGCCTGATTAAGTCGATTTATTAAGAATTCCCTTAAGTTTATTTATAATAAACACATTATGGGAAAAGTGGAGTCTTTGTTGACAAATAATTCCATAAATACCCTCGCTTTTCTAATTAAATTAAAAGAATATAAACTGTTATTTAGAGATTAGAAAATATATTTTTGGTGTATTAATTTCACTGTTTGTTAGCATAAAAACAAAAATGGTCTATGATGCAAAATATTCTAGTTTGGTATGATTTAAAAAGATAAATCAACAAAATAATGCTTTTTTTGCTTATTTTAACAAACATTCTATATATAAGCAAAGTGGGTCAGGAAAATGGTCAAAACTTGACCTCATTGCCAAATTCGTGATTCCAGCATTATAAAACCCAATGATATCTAAGACTTTCGCAGAAATTGTTGTAGATTAATTTTTGACATAATTTTGACAACCTTCTTGCCTGAAATTCCTCTACATTAATTTTCCTCAAGAGTTAATGGATGGATAGACTGATTTTCATGGTAGATAATTCATTTTAAAGAAATTGTGAAGTGCATTTTATAACTGTATCAAATATTAAAATCGACTATTATTTCCTTTAAAACAAAGAAGTTAATTTCTGAAAAATTTTTTTGCTGTTTTGTCTTATAAAAATATTTTATAAATTTTGTGGTATATGTACGTTAAAAACCTACGTTCCTCTTCTTTCACATGGTTTATTTGACATTAAAATATTTTTAACCGTTTTGAATTAAAGCCACTCCTAATAATAACTTCTCAAAAATCGGAAAAATTTTAGGGGACAAAAATCGATCAATTTAAATTTAAACAAAAATTTATATTTAGAGGTCTCTAGAGGTACTAAAACGAAATTTCATGTTAGTTTCACAAAAAAAAAATTGTATGACCTAATTTAATTGAAAAATATTAGGTTTTTAGAAATTTTTTGGTTATCCATCAATTTTGATAGCTTTTACTTTATTTTTATTGCAATCTACATTAAAAAAGTGATATATTCACATAGTTGAATCGAATAAGTAGAATGGTGAGATAAAAATATTAAAAAATGGAAAATTTCAACTTTCAAAAAAAAATTAGTCAAACCACAGCTTATTCACAATAAATGGCGTATAAGTGTCTGATGTTTTGGAGTGTAGAACCACCAAAAAAAAGTTTGGGCCAAATCTGTGGCACACCAACCTGATCATCCCCTCGTAAAAAACCGTAAGTGAAAATGGATCACATTAAAATCTATGATTATAATTATGTTCAAATTGTCTACCATGTAAATAAAATTGGAAGTACCTTTCTTTACTTTCTTTCCACGACTGTCTAAACCATAAAACAATAAACATTAAAACATAAATTATGTACAAAATAAATTATATATAAATTAGATTAAAAGTAATCCTTGATTTTCTACATTTGAATAGTGTTATGAATGTTTTATCAATAATTGTTATGAATATTTAAAATAATTATTGTAGATATTCACAATAAAAAAAAAACTATTTTCCCGCTTACCTTCTTTTTTTCTTTCTCCTGCCTTTTGTTACGGGTACAGATGGAACGACCGTCAATGATTCCTTAGAATTTCCTTTTGAAAGGGACATTTCTACCTCGGCAGCCCAATCCTGTAAAAAATAATTAATTACAAATATAAACAACAAATAATAGGAAGGAAATTTTACAAAAACAATCACTTACCAAGACATTAGTTTGTGTTTTAAAGTTTTCCAAGTCTGAAGTCGCTTTGGCGTCACAGAATTGAGACTCATTCTCCAAGTTGCTACCGTCGTAAGAATAGCCTTGCTCTTGATTTTCTTTCTCCTCGACGTTGTACGGCAGACTTTCGACATAGTCATAGTTCTTGTTACTAAATGTTAACGAACTGCTTCTATCACTTTCCAGGGATGGTGTTTGGATTATCCTGTTTGCAGTTAAACTTTCGTAGACATCCTTTTTAAGAGCACCTCGGCCTCGGCCTCTAGTTTTAGGTAAGGACTTAGACCATTCTTCGGACAACGACTGAGGACGCTTGAATCGTTCCATGTTGCAATTAGACCGTAACGATTCGGGACTGTCGCGATCGACGAGATCAGCCTTCTCGCCCGTCTCTGAAGGAGTCTGGTTGAACTTTTCCTCAGAAGGTTCCAATAAACCGTTTTCAGCCATGAATTTCTTTTGAAACCTCGGAGGCAAATTCTTCGGGTTGTTTCTTTTGTTCTGATAGCCGACCGGTGGTTTGTTGTGCATTCGGTCATGATTCCAATTCGTACTCCCGCCCGGTTCAACACTGCGGATATCCCTCGAATGTACGTTCATCTCTTGGTTCATAGGCGGTTCCGAGCCGTGACGTGTGAATCTGTTGGCGGTGTAATTGTCTGTAGGATTGTTCATACTGTCTCTGGACTTTGAAAGTTCTGTTTTTTCCGAGTCGGCATGTTTCCCTTTGGATCGTTTTTTCTTGTCTTTTTTCTTTCCAGACCGTTCAACGCTTTTGAACCCGTTTCTATCGGTGCTGTACAGTACTTTTTCAAAATTCTCATTGGAACTTTGTTTTTCAGCCCGTTTCAATTCAAAAACATCTATTTGGTCATGCAACCGTTGAGCGGGTTTCGGAACATAAATCTCGGAGCCTGGTTTCCTCTGCCTTTTCCCTGATACATCTTCACTTCTCAGCTCGGCATCCTTATTCGCGCTTAGAGTTATTTTTTTCAATTCTTTCGTTATTTTTTCAACTTCTTCATCACGGGATAAGATTCTGGGTTTGGTCAGTCCATTTCTGTGCACACTCTCAGAATTCATCACCGGCCCATCCCTCGGGCCAAACGATTTTCGCAGCGGACCACTACCAGGTGTGTAAAGCTCTCGGTCCCGTTGATATTTTCCTCTTCTGTTCGATTTCTCGAAGTCACTCATCATCATATGAACTGGATGGAAAAAAAGCGTTATTTACATTGACATGATAGTGTAAATATAGCAAGCATATAATAAAAATTGACCTCTTGGGAGATTGACCCTACAAACTAATTATTATGCTAATCATCAGTGAGACAAGAAACAATTGAACAGCACACAAAGTGAACAAAAAACACCAACTGTAATGTTATAAAGATGGACACATACATTAGGGAAAAAATACTTTACAAAAGTGCTTTTTTCAATTCAATGAGTCAAATGTTCTGACATTAGATAAATCATGAAATAAAGCCCAGGACAAAAATTTTACCCACCTTAATATTTTGCCTATACATTAACATAACTATGATTGAATAATTATCAAAAAGATATTTTAACTTTTTTTTTAATTACAAAGAAAGAAGCACAAATGCTTACTGCGCATAATTCTCACTATTACCTCCATTTTTTTCCAGAGGTACAGTAAACTTCAGAAGGGAATCAAATAAGCCCACAATACACACCTAACAAATCATTAAAAACAAAATCACATAAAAAAAGCACTCCCATTTTCTACAAAAAATCGGTACAGAAGATTTGAGAGACTTATTCCTAAGCAGAAGAATGACACTTTTCAATTAGATGGAACACAACATTTCTGCTTGTGATAAATACATGGCTCAAGAATGTCAACTACAGCAAGTATTCTTTAGGAAAGTGAGTTGTTTGTGTTGCCTATCTTGGGCCTTACATTGGTAAACATTGTAAACTTTTTTTTTTATAATATACACCTAACAACCCATTTCTAATATTTTTGTCATAAAAACACAGAGAAACGTAATCATTGAAAGAAATAAACTAACATAACATTAAGGATACCTAATGTTTTTTCTAAGGATGAATGCTTAAAATAGATTTTTCTTGTTCCCGGGTGTTTTACTATTGACAACACCCAGTTGAAGACATAACTGGCAGTTATGAGTGTAATTAGGCTTCTGACACACATCTCAGGTGAAATTCAATGAGGTGTGCAAGCAACAGTGGCATAGAACACGATAGAACATTGAACATTTTCTTATATGTGGCCACAGTGTGGAAAACTGCACATCTAACTTGCAGCGTATAGTTTGTGTTAATACTGTTAAAAGTAAAACACTTGAAAACGAGATAGATTGTCCCTGGTCTTATTTTGTTGTAAATCAGTGATATAGTAGTAAAATACAATTGCTGTGCCATAAAGGCAAGAATTTTTTTTTTAGTTTATATTTTGAGTTTTGCTGGCTCCTGAATAGATAATTACATGCAAAAATGCCTTTATGTCTCCTCCTGGGTTTGTGTTCATACAGTCAATTGTTTTGACTTCTGTGCCACTGTTGCACAACAAATGGGAGACAAGAGGCACTCTTTCTTATTTCAGCTGTTCTGTTGACTGCACGAATAAAAACCTGGGAAAAGACGTCTGGTAGTAAATAGATGAAGTTATCCTCTACACTGCCAGGATAGTTCCAAATATTAACTTAAAAACAGTTTCTTCTCTTTGATGGCGCAGCAAGAGAAGATTGAAGAATTTTGTCTTCTGTACCACTGTTGCACAACAAAAGAGAGTCAAGTGGCAAAACACCCTATGTCCTTGTTTCATCTCCTTAGCCCAGTATCGTGCTTTTACAGATTGATTTGCTTTTTATCCTAGCAATCACTCCTCAAACCCCTGTGGGAATTTTGCACCACCAATGGCACTCCCAGGATGGGCCTCGCGGAGACGCCAGGTCAGAATGATGGGGTGAGGTTCCTCTCAATGTCAACCCCCTGCTTTTGGCAAAGTGGGCTGTGGTTCTGAAGCCTGTTTGACAAAACAACAACGAGATGGCCCGGCTAACAAAACTCAAAAATGTAAACTTAAAAAACAATTTTTCACTGCTATGTCGCAACAAACAGGTTTTGACTTGTGCCACTGTTGCACAACAAACGGGAGATAAGAGCCAATCTTTCTTGTCGCTGCACATTCTATCGTTGTCAGCACAAATGAAAACCTGAGAAAAGATGTCTGATAATAAATAAATGAAGTTATCCTTTGCACTGCTAGCACAGCTGAAAATGTTAACATAAAAACAGTTTGTCCACTTTCATGGTGCAGCAAAAAGATTTTGTCTTCTGTGCCACTGTTGCACAACAAAAGAGAGTCAAGAGGCAAAACGGCCCTTGTTTCCATCCCAGTCCTTAGCCCAGTATTGGGCTTTTACAGATTAATTTGCTTTTTATCCTAGCAATCACTCCTCAAACCACTGTAGGAACTTTGGACCACCTAATGACTCCCAGGATGGGCCTCGCGGAGACGTCCGGTCAGGATGATGGGGGTGAGGTTCCTCTCAATGTCAACCCCCTGCTTTTGGCAAAGTGGGCTGTGGCTCTGAAGCCAGTTTGACAAAACGACAAGATGGTCCCGGCTAACAAAACTCAAATAAACTTAAAAAACATTTTTTCACTGCTATGTCACAACAAGCAGGTTTTGTCTTGTGCCACTGCTGCACAACAAACGGTAGATAAGAGACAATCTTTCTTGTTGCTGCATGTTCTATTGTTGACAGCACAAATGAAAACTTGGGAAAAGAAGTCTAATAGTGAATAAATGGAGTTACCCTCTGCACTGCCAGCACAGCACATAAATCTTAATATAAAAATAGTTTGTCTGCTTTGATGATGCAGCAAGAAGATTTTGTCTTCTGTGCCACTGTTGCACAACAAATGGGAGACAAGAGGCACTCTTTCTTATTTCTGCTTGTTCTACTGTCGTCAGCATGAATGTAAATCTGGGAAAAGATGTCTAATAGTAAACAGACGAAGTTATCCTCTGCACTGCCAGCACAGCTCTATATTTTAACATAAAAACGGTTTGTCCAGTTCGATGGTGTAGCAAGAGGATTTTGTCTTCTGTGCCACTGTTGCACACCAAAAGGATATAAAAATGACATCTTTCGACGTCAGACGCTTGGCGAGCGGACAAGACTACAAAGACAAAACTTTCGTCCAGACGCATCTGCGTAAGGACGTCGCCCGTTTAAAGTCGACCCCAGTCGAAAACTGTTCAAAAAGCCGTGAATCGTAAAATGAAAAGAATCCATTGGGGGAAAAAACGCAATAAACGAGAAACGCTGACAGAGGGAAAGAGGACGTGAAGAAATTGCGTTGTTGTCGGACGTTGCCGTTGACGGCGGTCGAGAGGCGAGCCGTTTCAGGCCTTTTCGTCCGACTTGCTCAGCCGCCTCCGGTGCCGCCCCCCGTCGTCGGAATACCGTTAAATTTAAAAAGGACGACTTACGATTAAATTGGCGAAGCGTACAACCTCCCCGAGTGTCTTTCAAGGCTCCATTTATTGTTGTCCGACGGCGGCGCACTCTTACAAACAACGGCCCCGAGTGAAAACTCGCTCGCTCTTCCCTCTTCGCTTTTCGACGCTTTTTTCGCCAGATCTAGCGATATTTCGACTCGAATTTTTTTTTTACACTTTTGAATTTTACAATGTCGCACACATGTGGAGGATTTGCTCGTCAGTTCGCCCACTCGGAACCCGCTCTTACGCTTACTTTCCCTGTATCCCTCCCCCCTTTTTATATTTACTATATAATTTTTTTTAAATTGCAATCTCATAGAAAACAATACTACATCGACAACACGTTTTTTTTTCGTTTTGAAAGAAATTTTATATAATTACCGATAAAATGTCTAAAAATAATTCGCTTTGTGAAATTTTGTCGTCGCTTTTCACGCGGCTGCGGCTACTTATGCAACGAAGAGCAACTATCGCGCCCAATCGCTTTGTGAATGTTCGTCGGCCCTGATTTTTAAAATAGAACAAAAAGATTATTTTCTAAAAATTGGCACAGCATAATGTTTTAATTCACTGTCGAACTGACAAAACTTATAACATTTAGAAACACACTATCAAATAAATAAAGGTCCTGGGCAAAAGGATACCTCAATAAAAATATTGTTATTATGAAACAATATTGTACTGTTATTATATTTATGATAACAAGTTTAGTAGTTGCCTACAGATTAAAAACAAACTTTTTTGTACCATAAATGTTGTACTATAATTGGAATTTTTCTAGGATCTTAAATAGGTCTGGCAAAGAAAGTTACCTTTTTCTCTTTTATCGTTGATTAGAAATGAACATGAAGTCAAAATCCTCTTGTACCACAAAAGCGAACAAATTTTTATTTTCACTATTTTACTGTTGAAGTTTTGCTATTTAAGTATTGTTCAAAAACTTTAAAACCTATCAAGCAAAATATAATTTAAAGAGAAAAAAAACTGATGTTTATTGGTTTCCTGCGCCAAAAAATATAGACAGCAGTAAAACTGTCAAAACTGCACTTTGCCCCCCCTCCACGGCCAAACGTTAAAAGCAAAAAATACAAAAATGTTAGGATTTATTAGAACTTCAATGGACTGGATCAGCAGAGAATCATCCCTGTTCAATTAAGAATGCAAGATTGACACACAGACACTTTTGAGCCAAAGCCCACCATTAAACCCATTAACCAGGATGTAGAGAAAGGTTGATCGATGTGTCCCACTTAATGAATACAGTCCTTGGCTCCGTATAGAGAGCGTGTAGGAATAGCAAGTTATAGGCTCAACCCTGCACATGTGTGTGCATATGTACATGCTTGTGCAGATTTGAGCTTACATTGGTAATCAATGGCTTAAGTCTATGAAAAAATATAATTTTTTTATAAAAAAAAAGATAAATGCAAAACCTTGGTTTAAATAATTAGAGAAACAATGCCTAGATTTAATTTCAAAATCAATAAACTATGTTGGAATGTTTTATTTATAAAAATGTAAAATAAATTAGTTGTAAAGTTTTCATACTCTTCTTTACTTTTTATTTAAATTCAAATGTTAAAATTACCTTGCTTATAAATAATTGTTTAAATGCAATTTTGGTTTTTGGATAGGATGTTGTGGCAAAATAGTGGATTTATTTATTTTATTTTATTATTTTTTTATACTATAAAAGCCACAATATAATTTTATATTGTGAAAAAATATTGTACAGTTATTGTGTTTATCATTTATGATTATAAGTTTAATAGTTAATAATCAAGTTCTCTCCAAAATAGTACTTACTACCCCTATATTAGCTTATAATTGATGATATCCTCTATTTTCCTCCGACATTGCAGCAACTGTAATATTTTTATTATTATTATTTTACCCTGTTAAGAATAAACTATCACATAAATATAGTTTATCCGTTTTCTCAAGTTACAGATGTCTATGATGAAAATTCACTTAAAGAGGCAAATATTGTCGCTTAAGATAACTGGACCAGAGATGATCCAGTTCAACCTGCCCTCTTTCCAAATCATCCAGTTGTTTTCACTAGCACACTGTTGATAAAATTAAATATAATAAAGAAATGTAGAAACCTTTTGTTTTTAGAATTTGAGTCAAGGAGTGATAACTTTTATTTCATTATTGTTGGCTTCCTCAGCTGTATAAGGATGTAATTTAAAAAATAATAATGCCAATACATATGAGCAGATAAATATTCTTAAGCCATCTGATGTGTAATGTTAAAGAGATAAAATAAAAACAGCAGTTGGATATATAAAATAAGTGAGGTAATGAAATAAGTTTTCACCAGTGTTGTTTAAAGTGCAGTCTTTATGTCTGGCAAAAGTTCTAAGTGTGAACTAAATGTCATTAATAAAATGTAAGTATTTCAGTTGTAATACATTTTGATATATTATTTATTATTCTTATATGTGAGGCTGAGAGTTGTATAATTTTATTTGTAGTACACAAGAAAATGACATATTATCTGCACGTTACTCAAATGATGGGAATGAAATATTCGCTGGGAGTATCAACGGTGAAATATGCAGATACGAGTCACGGACCTTGAAGCTGTTGTCCGCTTATACTGATGACGATATGTCAGGGAACAACAACCCGGTCACCTCTGTCACACCCCTGGTGCAGTCCAGTGAGAAATTCCTTACATCTCGTAAGTAAAAGTGAAAAAGTACACAAAACTTGTTGTTGATATGTGATGTCAAATCTTTTCTCAGATGCAAACGGTTGGGTAAAAGTGTGGGACATACAAAGTGGAAACTGCGTTCTGACGATACGAGAGAGGGCACAAATAATGGCTGTGGTGCCCCATCCAAAACGGGACCGGCTCGTTACCTTGAGTGAGGATGCTAGGATAAGGCTTTACGACTCCAACAGTGGACAACTGACCATGACTTTTGAAAACAGGTGAAACAATTTTACCTCCTTTAACAAGAACTTCTTTAAAATGTTAAACTTCTTAGCTACACGAAAGAAAAAATGACAGGACACGACTCGAAAATATTTGCAGCCAAGTTCCACCCCAAACAAATAAATGAGTTTATATCAGGAGGATGGGATGATACTGTACAATTCTGGGATATGAGGAAGCAAAATTCAATAAGGTACTTTGCAGGCGCTCATATCTGCGGTGACGGGCTCGACATCGATCCAGCTGGTGATATGGTATAATTTGACATGTCATACTCGCTATGTCATACTCAATGGATCCGTTTTAGGTGTTGACCTGCGCCTACCAAGCAAACAATAGCTGTCGCATTTGGAGTTATAACACAGCAAAGCTATACATGGACATCAGTACAGAAACTTCCAGGGTAAAACCTAAAATTCAATTTTTAATTTGATCGAATTTTTAATAATTTGGACAATTTCAGTTGTATTGTGGAAAGTATATTGGACAGAAATTCTTGATGACTGGTGGCTCGGACCCATGCCTAGTGAGAATTATAAACCTTTTTACTTTTGGAGTAAGTTCAATGGCAAAATATAACAATTCACACATTCTTTATTTAAATTTCTAATTTAATTTTTTTTTAAACATAGACTCTGGCAACCTACAAGAGTCCCCAATTGGGAGTTTATTCCCTAGACAGCTTCAGAAGGGGTGAGAAAAAGGACACAATACTTAACCACAAAATTATAATGGCATCAGGAAATGTGCTGACCGAGTTGGAAGTTCGTTACACATACACTATATCATAACAATATAGTATTTTATTCTCCTTATCTTATATGGGTGTTTTTTGAATAAACTATTAGGTTGACCAAAGTTAAATAAATATTCCCTTGACTCTTTTAATTTATCATAACATAGGGATATTTGGGAATTGTTTCTTACACAAGAACAGACTAGGTTTGATCCTTAAAAAAAAAAAAAAAAAAAAAAAAAAAAAAAAACAATAATAACAATAAAAACAATAAAAACTTGAAAAAAATGTATGGCTAATTCCTTAGAATACAACACAATTCCCAGATAATTTTAAATTTATGAGCCTTAATTTTTAACAAATAAATACCTATTGCTCATAAATTGTTTTAATTTTTTTTATTAAGCTATAAATTTATTGAAATTTCTTTTTGAGGTCTGCATTTGGCCATTTTTAATTATCCTGGTATTTCCCCTGATTAGCTATGTCAGATTGGCGAAATATCAAACCCTGTCTGACAATTTAATGCAGCAAAGACTTTTTATAAATAGTTTCTGTTAGTGACACAATTCTGTATTTATTCAAAACCCATAATTTAAATATTTTTTATTTTTTTTACAAACACTGCTTCCCTGTAATCCTGAGAATTTTAATATTTCAATAACCACATTCAATTTATAAAGAAATTTTTACTTAACATATTTTTGTTATTTAATTATTTTCTAATATTATTTATACAGGCTAATTTACTACTCATATGACAAAGTTCATCAGGTGCTTCTACACCTTAAATGCAACAAGAAATATATTACAATTAATTAAGGTTTTTAGTTGAGATAAAAAAGTCAATGGCACGAGCGGGATTCGAACCCACGACTTTCGGCTAGATACGCCGCTGCTCTAACCGCTTGAGCTATCATGACCTCGATCCACTCGGACACCAACTTCCCATCTCAACCCCACCTTTTGAATTTTCCCTCCTTTTTGCTATTTTTCATCTCACTTTTCATTTTTTCATCTCAACTAAAAACCTGAATTAATTGTAATATAGTAATTGGTCAAGCGGACCACGAAATTAGTGAATGCAACAAGAAAGTTCATATCAACCATGATACGATTGTTAATCCTTTCGTTAATACTAATTTTACTTTTTACGTTTTACTTTTTTCAACTATCTACAGTTTTTGTCATAAATCTACTCGTAGCTCTTGAACTATTCATTTTTGGGTAAAAACGCATTGAAAAGAGCATTAAATTTCTTTTAAGACAGCACCCTTCCAGAATATTCAATTAAATTTTTGGCAAAAAAACAAAGACTAAATCTTTCAATAACTACTAAATTTAAAATTTGCAACCTCGTAGGAAAAATTCACAGTAGGACTTGGCAAATTTTTGTAACAACTTCTTCTAGCAGTCAGTGTAAAAAAAGGGGAATGAATTAATCTAGTACATAATTCAACTTTTTGTCCTGGGCAAATTTATTTCCCAACTTTAACTTAATAAAAAAGTACAGAAAGAAAAATGAAACAAAACATATACAAAAAGAGTAAATAAACATAGCGAACAACCAAAGCAGAAAAATTGAACAAAATCTACACTAACACAAAAAAAAAGTAATACCGAACTTTAACCTAATAAAAAGCAAAAAAGACTAAGCACTCACTACCCCAGAGTATTTGATTTCATCGGGGTAATTGGGGAGAAGACCTCCATTCGCGTTAATTAAGTACATTCATGTATTTTATTGATTTTGATAAAGTCCAACACAGGAAAATAAAAGAAATTATTAAAAACACTCAAATGCATGATAAATAATTTACATTATTATAAACCTTTCGTGGAACCAACAAATAAGATGTGAAGATATAAGGCTGCATATCAGATGACATTAAAATTAAGAGTGGTGAGACAGGGGTGCATCCTGTCACCCACTACTATTTAACATATACTTTGAAAACATATTCAGGGAAGCTCTTGATTATGTGGAGGAGAAAGGTGTAAAGGAGAACATTACCATAAATAATATCCAAAATGTGGACAATACCATTTTAATTGTAAACAACCAAGAATTACAGAGTACTTGATAAGGTGTCATAAAAAGTAATGGTTTAAAACTAAATGCAGCAAAGACAATACTGATGGTTATTAACAAGATATCTAACAAGGTAGAGAGGGTTCAAAAGGTATCAAGGCTGACAGTCGATCAACCTAAGGGACTAAAAAGACATAAAAGCAAGGGTTGGAAAGGCTAGGAACAGCATTTACTAAAATGAAAGGCATACTGTACAGTTGCCTTGATCTGGGATGAAGAATAAGACTATTGAAATATATTCTCAACTCTGCTATATGGAGTTGAAACTTGAACAATACCTCTATGAAAAAGCTTGAGGCATCCGAGATGTGGACCTATAGAAGAATGCTAAAAATAAGCTGGGTAGAACCAAGGCCTACATTGTACACATCACGGAGATACTCAAAACAACAGAAATTAACACAACAATAAAAACAAAGAAACTTGGGTATTTCAGTGTTCTACATCACCCGGGTAAATATGAACTGCTTAAAATTATTCTGAAAGGAAAAATCAATGAGAGACGAGGTCCTCATAGGAGAATAACTTCGTGATTGAAAAACCTGAGGCAATGGTTCAACCAAAGCACAAGATCTCCCTTTAGAGCTAGAGTATGCATTGGCATCACGATCATGATGATCAATGTCCATTAACGGATAGGGTACAAAGAATATTTTTACTATTATTTGATACAATGTATTTTAAAATGTAAAACGCTAACGGTTCTAAGTGAACCTAACTGCCATGGCGGTTCTAAGTTGTAGTTGGGATCACATTCTGGCCAAAGTACTGCTTTTCCCATACATTCAAAGTATGTTTCAATCCACTCTGTCTTGGACAAAACCAGAACATGTCAGCCGATGAGATTTCTTCTATTTTTTTATTTTAAGACAATTTAGTTCAATCCAAATCCATTTTTATCAACTAGAAATATGCATATAGCCAGTCATTTCTAAAAGTTTCCTATAATCTACTCCTAAGCTGCGTGACTGTAACCCTACACTTTTCCCAGGTGGACTGCCCACACTTGGTGCCGGGGAAAGGAATTTAAAAACCAGTCCCTTGTGCCATTTTTGAAAAATTGGTACATTTGTAGTTAAGCAAACAATAAAATGGTTTTGTTAATTTACAACCGAGTGACAAAATTATAGACACACCCCTAATTGTTATGATCATTATTAATGTAATGGGTTTGTACTACAAATATTTATTCAAAACACATGAAATAAATATTTTTCTTCATTAAACTTTAATTTTTCAGTAAATAAAAGAAAAAATTATTAAAATACTAAAGTTAAATGATACATGGGATAAAATCAACTTAAAACAAGGTTTGTGGCAATATTTTGTGGCATTACCACTCAGTTTTATTTCCAGTAATCTTTCTGGAATGATTTTGTACAAATTTTGAATAAAATCTTGAGGCAAATTATTCCAAGCAGTGGTGACAGCTGTTTTAAGTTTGTTGGCAGAGTTTACTGCTTACAGTCTTGATATACCATCCTCGATAATTTTCCCCATACATTTTCTATAATGTTCAAGTCTGTGAGAGTGCAGGCCATTCAAGTTTTTCAATGCTGTTTTGTTGTCCTGCTGGAATATTGGAGTCCCTTTGCATAAATCGCTGAAACTAGTTTTTTCTTTGTCCAGTAATTTCTTGTAATATTCCGAATTGACTTTTTTTGGAAGAAAAGAAAGATTCCCTTTTTTATTACACCCCCAAATTATCAAAGATCCACCACCCATTTGGCGCTGTGACAAAATTTTTTCTTCTTTAGTTAGATCATGAAAGTAGTATGCATGTCCGTCCGGGCCGTCCAAATTGAATTTTTTTTTCGTCAGAAAAAATAACTTTTCGCCAAAAATCTTCATTTTTCAAAATGTGGTTTTCAGCAAATTTGACACGGGCTAGTTTGTGGTGGGGTTTCAGAGCTGGTTTGCGTTTCAGTTTTCTTCGGACTATGTTTCAGTTTTTTTTAAGGAATCTCTGAACGGTTCGAACAGAAACATCAACACCTGCCTTCTCTGCGATGGCTTTTGCAGTGAAAAAGCTGTTTGAAGCAACACGCAGGATGTGCGATTTGTCTCTTCTGGTCAAGGAAGGTCTTCCAGAGCTATGCCCTCTTCCGTAGTCTTCAGCTAGTTGTATTATCTTCGATACCGATGAAAAACTTCGTTTTATCTCGGCAGCACATTCCATCTTCATTGAGCAAATGAATCAACCGGCGCTCCTCATCAGAAAATCTTCTTCCTTTGGACATTTTAAAATAACTTTGAATTGCTCCAAATGAACTCACAGTAATCACTTTACTAAGGCACAGTACAGTGAATATTGAATAAACCTTTGGAGTTATAAAATAAACGTAAACAAAATGTGTGTCTATAATTCTGTCGCAGCTAAATCAAAACACTGTTTACTGAGATGTACATTTGTATAAGATTATCAGATCAAGCCATTTGCAGAGTTAATTTTCTTTTAATATCATGAACAATATTCTAATGGCAAAATAAATTATTTTGACTGTTGAAGTCGTGATTTTTTACTGTGTCTATAATTTTGTCACTCGGTTATATACCCTAAGGATGCTAAAAAACCAAACATCTCATATTTTGGCTGAAGGTGAGGTATATTTTGGTCCCAGGGGGCTTTAGGTATTAATTATTTATAAATTTAGTTAAGGAAGCATTTTCACAAAATCATATTTTTTTTAAATCGTTTACTTCATTATAAACTATATAATACAAAAATGTACAATTCACATGTATTTATAAATGTATACACATAACACATGACTGGTAGTCACTTGGTAAGACTAGATACAAAGGGTTGTTTGCAGACTTACCACAGCTAGAGATTCTAAACAACATTAATGGCAAGCCAGATGTGATGTTTCACAGTTAAAAATTAAAAGAAAAAAAAGTCAATTATAAAATTAACAAAGCGGCAGTAAACACATACACATCGTATATATATAAAAATAAATTTCCTAAATAAAGTTTAAAAGAACTTTCATCTTTTTTTTCTCTCTTCTTTTCTTTTGGTAATCTCTTGGTAGTTTAAAAAAATGACTTTTGGATGCAAAAGCCTAAAGATGAACAAACTACAACCTGCCTTTTGGAAATAGTTAGGAAATGAAAACAAATTGTCATTGATGATGGGTGAACAAACAGCAGATGAATGATAGTTGAATTGTTATAAATGAACATTGGCCACAAAATAAAGTCAAGTTGTGATCAAACAAAAGTTTAAAATAATAATAATAAAAATAATTTTATTACATTACAAATTTCATAAATATTTTAGGTCAGGGTCGACTGTAACATGATAGTTTTATGTTTGAGTGCAGCCAATGTCGTGATCCTTGTGCGGCCGGAAGACATAGCAGGCAATGACAAATTTATTTGCTATTCATTTCTTTTGATCCGCCAAACGGTAAAGTTCATCGTATACCTTAAGCCTAATTACATGGTATTGTACACGGGGTTGTTGAGCCTTGTCAACCTGGCTAAGGGGTGTGTTTTGCCCTGCTGCTGCTTCTTGTGTGCGGCCTTAGTCAGGACGCTCGCCACGACATTCCTCGGCATGGGCTGGCTCTTTATGATGGGAATAATAGGAGGACGGGAGGTTCGGGGAGGTGGGACTTGGGGCGGCCGTTCGTACCTCCCGACAAGTTTACGCACCGATAGTTCTTCGAGGGAACCGGAGGGGCTCGGCCTTTCACACCTGTCACTGATAGGCGACGATGGGAGGCTCTGAACTAAGTCACTGTTCTCTTCTCTTTCACTTTTTACTGCACCGCTTTTAGCTTCAAATTCTTTTTTGAGGTTTTTGACCTTGCCGACCTCTGGTGGCTTCACTTCCACCTGAGTCCTCATGTCGTACGAACCCCAAGAACTATTCCTTGAAGCGATGATGGATTTGGTGTCCCCTGAACCCCAGCTGCTCTGCCTAGAAACGCCTTCACCCCCTGTCATACCACTGTCAAAAGAACTCCAAGATGACTGCCTCGACACCTAAACAACAAAATCAAATTTCTCTTTAAGAAATTTTCTGTGCAAAGTTTTATAAACTAAATAAAACATCACAGTAGACAATTTGATATCTTTATGTGAATAATCAATAAAAACAGTTGGGTCACAAGTGATGGTGCAAAGGAGCCAAGGCAAAAATTGTAAAGGTGGTTATACACTTGTGAGCCGAGCGGTCTGTCGTCAGTCCAGGTATATGAACACATATCAAGCCTGCAAGGGTCAGTTTTTACGACAAGAACAAAGGGATGCTCAGTGTCAGTTTGGTTGGCATAAAGACATTTCTGTCAGTGTATACGTATCCTGAGTAAAAACCAAACATGGTGGCATGATCGGATGACGATGAAATGATGCTACTAGAAACGTTGCTCATAATCTATCTTATTGGACCCAAAAATGAGAAAAAAAGGCTTAGTACAGAAGGTTCACTGAAACGCATGATAAATCGTGCTTAAACGGGTGCTTATGGTGAACACATGGAGCGCATGGAAAAGAGCAATTTTACGATGGAAGTCAAGTCATTTGTCTGTAGTATTTCTATCGCCGCTATAAACTAAGAAGACCGTGACAAAATGAACTATTGGGTGCATCCTATTTTAAGAGATAGATCCACAAATAGTATGATTGTTACTCTCTACCCAAAATTATGTGATTATGAACCAAAATATTTCAATTATTTTAGAATGTCAATTAACTCTTGATGATTTTTTGCATTTGATTAAAGGCGATATTTCATCAAGACTCGGTGTGTGAGGGATTCCATCCCGCCAGAAGGAAAACTCATAAAACATTGATAATGTTGACATTACAGAACAAGAGTGCATCAACTTTTCAACATACATAGGAGAAAAAGTTAAAAGCTGAGGACATTAGAGATAATTATTCGGAAATCGTGAGATGCGGTCTGGTGTAACGTAGGTTTCAGAAAAACATTTTCTTTGTCGTGCCAACGTTTCGATCTTTATTGAGATCATCTTCAGGGCTCAGTGTTTATCTTCTGTGTAATTGTGCCATTCTTGCGTGTCGTGTTGAGATTTTAAACACATCAAAAAGATGCATATAATGTCCACTTTGACCAAATTAAAAACAAACACATCAAAAAACGAAACGTTGGCACGATAAAGAAAATGTTTTTCTGAAACCTACATCACACCAGACCGCATCTCACGATTTCTGAATAATTATCAATTAACGGTCACTAATCACCACACATTAGAGAAAAGTTTAAAAAAGCTCCAGAACTCCCGTATCGTGATGCTGAACTGCTCGACGGTAAAACTACCTCTAAATCACTGGAATGTGAAAAATGCGGTAGCTGATGATACAGTCACGTGTGATGGTTATGACAGATATGGGGGAGCTGTAATAAATATAATAATCGCTACACTCCATGTTCCACAATGCAGATATATTTTCAATTTTTCGTCGATCAGGAGATGATAAAACGTTGATCTGAACAGACTACTAACAGTACTTTACATCTCGATTCGGGCGGTGAAATGCACGTAGTGAGGGGAATCTCGAATCGCACTTAGTTATATGTGTTAGGCTTAATTGCGTGTTACCGTGTGTATACTCTGCTTTGAACTTCAGTACAGTGGAAGCCTGTTTATCCGGAACCCGGTTGTTAAAATATTTTTCATAATTCTCAATGTATGCATATTAATTTTTTAAATTCATAATTCAGCTGTGGGACCAATTCATCGTTCGAAATTTGTAAAGGCCGCCAAATTGCCATCACCCTTCCAAGTCACATTTTTGTTTAAAGAAAGAAAGAAAAAAAAGTGTATCCTATTTGAAAAAAAACTAGAAATTGCTGTGTCGTGTTGTTCGTATGTTGGCTTCCATCAAAAATGTTTTTTTATTACATATATTTTTTATGTATAATTTTTCACAAAACGTGTGTCTGGACTTGAACAAAAATCAATAAAAGACCATCTTACTTTTAATATAACTTGATAGATGAATAAAAGTGTGCACTTTCGAGTGTGTGTGTGTGTTTTAAGTCCTTTTTTTATGACACAATCCTAATAAAATCACAAATTTTAGGATTATTGGGACTTTCGATCATCCAGACAGATGTTCCCTTCAAGCCTAGATAAAAGGATTTCTACTGTATTTCACACTTCATATGTACTAGGCCTAAAAATATATATTACATATATAATAAAATATAAATTATATATTAAAAATAATAATAAAATAAAAAGATATTATACATAAATAAATAGTCTCCTGTTTTGAAATTTTGGGAGTTATTTTTGTCAGTATATTTTCAAAATCAGTTACATTCTTGTAAAATTTTTATACCGTCTATTAATACTTTGAAAGTTCATGCACTACATTAATTCTGATCCATTCTGTTTTTTATATACCTCACTATGCCAAAACTGATGTTTCTTTTCCTTACACAAATTGGCAATTAACATACCTGCGTCATTTATTACCAGTCAGTAAACAGAGTTTCTTGTTCAGACATTGAGTTTTAACTAAATTGTGTACCAAGTTCAAATCATGTAATGTCATAGGAGGCTCGGGCATCCATTTTGTCGAGAGCCTACTATGAGCCGCTTGGCTTGCAGGTGTGTACCCACCTTAAGATTTTATGGGAACTTAACAATTGATATTTACGTTGTGAATTTTACAAACCTCATGATTTACGTTCTCTTCTCTGTCAAATACCCTGTCAAGCTGGGAGGAGAAAACGTCCTTCTTAGGTTCAGTCTTGTCTTCCTCGAATTGTGACGTCAAATTGAGGACAAGGCCCTTTCGATCCATATGGTGCCTCCCGCTTTGCAATTCAAGGGTGCTTACACGATGCTTAACAGAGGAAACACCATTCTCTTGACTGGAAGAAGAAAAAACGATTAGTAATCAAATTTAGTACCACAAATGTTTAAGAGTCCTATCCAATTTGGTAGTTGATGAAATTTTGGCTTTATTTTTTAAACAAATATAGAGAGAACTATAAGTGAATACATACCTTTGAGAACAGGGCAGGTGTAGTATTTTATTTTGAGATACGCTGTAAGCGAGGCCATTACCGCATGGCATCCTTACGTTGATGTTGTAGTTCCTAGCCTCTGGGACGGGAAGAGGAGGAAGTGGAGGTGGCGGAGGTGGGGTCGGTGCTGGGCTTTCAGTCCTTTCAGTCTCTTTAACATCACCAGTCTCCTTCCTAACGGAGAGTTTGCTACTGTCTGAAACAAGAACAAAAAACACAAATTCGATTAAACTTAAATTTTAAATATTTAAATATAAAAAAATTTCAACCGTTCTTACTCTGGGGGTGGGTAAACATGCTATTGGCAGTAACATGGTCTGGCGACCAAGACTTTGGCCTGATTCCATGAAGAGGAGGCAGACGTTCTTCCTCGCTCTCTCGTTCGCTTTCGCCCTCGCTCACGCTCCGGCCGTTTTCGATGTTGCACTCGATTTTATGCACTCTATTAGGCTTACATTTCAGATTTGTTTCAGATTTTGATCTCTGAAGTTTCTCTTTGTTCTTCATTGCATCCAAAATGCCCTTAATTTAAAAAAAAATTATATCAATATCAGTTATAGAAAGACTACTTTTTGATATTTTAAATAATTATATTAATACAATTAATTGTGTGTAGGTGTATGAAATAAATTAATCAAATAAATTAAATTCTAGTTAAATAAACAAAGAGCTCGTTTAAAAGTGAATAATTTGTGTAAAGTATATTTACCTGATATGTTTCAAGTTGGGATATAAAACTAGAATTTGGCTTTATACATTGTCTCTTCTTTTGTACAAAATTAAGCGCTTTCTTCAAATCCCAACTGTACGCTTTCATCGCATACGCTATGACTACTGAAGCGGATCGACTCACTCCCATTTTACAATGGACAAGAACTTTCGACCCTGCTTTCCTGGTAAATCAAAAAGTTGAAAATTGCATCAGTTGAAAATGTAAACTTTTAAATAAGTTGAAGATTCTCACTTGGCTTTGGTGATGTATTTAAACGTATTATCCCAATGTTTGAGGAGATCTGTCTTTTCGTCGTCATAAACTCTAACATTCAGATAGTCAAACATTCCTGGGAAAAAGTTGTCAATCTCTCTTGTTACATTAAGGATATGGCAAACACTAGAAAGAAGAAAAGACAGTTAAGTTTTTGAGTAAAAAAAAATTCACATAGTTGAAATTTACCCATTTTTATTCAGTTCTTCCAAGTTGGAAGCATTCCATTCGGAACCGAGGTAGACATGGGGAAAGATCTCAGTGGCCTTGTCCATCTGGCCAAGGATGATCAGCATCTCCTGATCGATGAAGGACTTAAATTCGCCCAAGTCGACATCGAGGGATTCTTCAAGTTTGGTCCGAACTTGCTTCGATGTCACCTCATCCAGATCAACTGACATCATAATCTCCTTTAACGCCGTTCTTATCACCTTTTCAGTCTCTTCACGTTCCGTCGGCCTTCATCGCAAGAAAAACATCAGTACAGAATTTACAAGATAATTAATTTCGGGGACTCACTTGTGTCTAACTGAGTCTGGTGAAGGTGGCCTCCGGGACTCGAGGCTATCCATTGCGTTCCACTCGTTGAGACAGGAGCGGTCACTCGATATACAGCCTTCATAGTGGGCCACCCAATCATGTGTCACGCCTCCCAGGAAGTAGTTGTGTTCACGAGCCTTTCCACTCACCTTGTGCAGCGTCTGCAACGCTGACCTGAAGAACGATAAAATATTTTTAACATTAGCTTAATTAAGAGTAAACAAGTAGAAAACAAATTAAATCAGAAATATTAAATTATAACCAAACGGGGTTGAAAGGGCCTTTGAAACGATTCAGGCCACAGATCAATTTTCAACGCCTTATCATAATAAAATATAAATTAAAATGCATGCAAATAAAATAAAGTTGAAACACCTATGCTGAGCATATTCTCCTTTTTAAATATTAACAATATGTACAAGGTGTAAACCAGGAAATAATTGATTTGACAGAAAGATTAACCTGATAATAGTATAAACTATGAGAGTGTTATTTAAGCAAACCAATCCAAGTGTAATAAGACTTAGGAATCGTTGAAATTTGAGTATTTTAAAAAAATAAAGTTTTCTCTTTATCTGCAACTAATTAGCACAACAATAACAAAAAATATTTGAACTAAAAATGATCTTTGTATAATACAATATTTCTAGAGTAATGGATTCACACTGCACTTAATTTTTGTTAGATCCTTTTTTACAAAAATTTTCTAGTTGACATTTCTTAGGGTACAAAATTTTTATGAAGTGGGTTGATAAAAGGCTAAAAAAAATAAAACACATGTGGCAAACTTTAAAGTCTACATTTTTTATTATTTCACAGTTTCAGTAATTGTTGTAGTAGTAAAAAATTAGGATAACCAAGTTCCATCAGTTAACTCAGCATTTTTTTATATTTTATATATATATTTTTTTGAATATCGGGGTTCCAGCTGACATACTTTCAGACTGAATGGATTGATGAAATGCCATTTCAATAAAAGGTATGACAATTGAAACGAGTCTGCTTTTCTATAATCAGCAAGACTGGGTTTCATCTGAACACACTTTGACTTTCTAAATCAGCAAATCTTTGGCCATTGTCAGTAAAGAGGGATTTCAGAAAAAGTAAGAACATAGGCAATAATAAAATAATCAGAATTTATTACAGCCAGGGGTGCCATTCGTTGGATCCATGTGGAAAGAGTGCTGATTCCTGGATAAAACGGAGTTGTTTTGCTTTATGGCATATAGTACTAATATTTGTGTTTTGCTAGTGTATGAATGTATGTATTAGCATGAATGTGTAGTGTGTGTGAAGGTCGAAGGATGAATATTGAGTACCCCATCGATCCTCAATTAGGTTAATGTAATAGACGTAAAGGGTGATGGAGGAATATTGACACATCACGTAGAAGTGAGAGTGTGAATGGATTTGGATTTACGGACTGATTGCGTTGGAAACTAAAATGGCCTAGCTGGTTGATAACCCCTGGAGCCAACATAGGTGGCTGTACAGAAAAGACCGAGGTCTGACCTGCATTTTCAACACTTGGGGTGGGTGATTCCTCAAGGCCTGCCACTAATTTATTGCAAAGTATAAAAGCTAAAATTGCTGGTGGAATGCAAGAAGTCACAGGCTCAATTCTATACATACTTTCTATACATACCGTTTATATAAGGTTGCAGATTTGACCTTATATAAAAAAGTATTCAGTTATTATAAAAAGCAAACAATTAAATAAAACACCCTAATTATCTAAACCCCCTACGAAATATCTGTGATCTTTGGGTCAAGAGGTGAATTGCTTGGCTGAAGAGCAACTGCAGCTTCACCTGTTCTTCATTCAATCTTAAGGTCTCTTTGCTCTGGAAGTTTAAAATGGTGCTTTAGAAAAACAGTTGAACCAAGAAAGCACAGTACAGGCAATTGGAAGAAATTTGCGGCCATTCAATACAGGAAATATCTAACTAATTAAAGCCAATTAAATATCCGAAATTAATAATAAATAATAGTATTACAGAAATAATTTTTAAAAATACAAACCACAAAAAATAGATAAAATGGCAACTTGGCAGCTAAGGTCATTCCCAAATTATACTTTATAATGTCTAATATTAAAAATTTACCCAATGACAATGTTACTGTATCAACATATTTTAAAAATAAAGTACACATAATTTAATATCGGTTCAAATAGTTCTATCCTTCATTGCGCAAGGGCGTGTAAAGCCACAAGCATATGCTAATAGTCGCGGGCCCAGTCCTTAGCACATGGAAAGTTGGCGTCCTTCGGATTTTTCATTATTTCCAGCCTCTTTCTCATTTGTATCTCACCTCCCCGAGAACGATCGCACTTATCGGTTATACAATGTGATGAGAAACGGCACGCACGTACAAAAATCGCAGTTGACTATAAACAAGAGGTGCGTTTTTAAAAACAATCTTGTTCATAAGAACCATAAACGCACTATCAGGGTCAAATTAAGACTGATTTTAAGTTTCAACTCTATCAATTCCAGTCAAAGTACAGCCCCAAATGTCAAAAAAATAGGCTAATCCTTTCCTTTTAAATTTTACCCGTTACTAGCGATCACAAAAAAAGAAAAAGAAAAAGTAGTGCCTTATAAGTTTCGACGATAAAAATCGGCAAGCGGTGGCCGAACTTGGGTGGCTTTCGAGTACTTTTCACGGCTATGGCCTTAAATGGGCTTTCGGTCCAAGTTTGTCAACCCTATTTTCGACCCAGGTATGGAATGAACGGGCCCGTCTCCAAAGTCCACGTGGTTGAACATTTCCCGACGGACTAGTTTAATTTTACAATTTTCAATTTGGAGATGGAGAGAAAAATCCCTGAATTTAAAAAAAATTGAGAGATTCATCTTTGATCGAAGCCTAAAAGTTCACAATTAAAAATAATTTGTGTTTAGGGCCTTCAGGCCGTTGTCACTTCCTAAAAATAAAAACACACTAATCTGTAATTGCACAAGATAAGGGAGGAGAAGAATAAAAAACTTTTCCTACTGGATTTCATGATTTTGTAAAATTTCCTAAGCCATGATTTAAAAAAAAATTAAAAATTAAAAAAAATTAAAAACTGGACATTCATCCTGAAATCCATTGCTGTCGCAAAATGAATTTTCATCGACAATAATGATCATTATTGTCAAAAATTAACTATACCTACTTTAAACTTTCTGGATGTTTTCTGTAATTCATAAAGAAAAATGTCAATTTTAACAGACCCTCCTTGCCATAAACATAACGGAAGACCGGATTTTTGAAAAGATCGACGGAACAAATATTATTCCAAGCGGAAAAAAATTAAAAGCGGCTTTAAAGAGATAAAGGCCAATTAAAGGCAGCCGCAAAAGGGAAGAAAATGTTTTGCCACGTTTGCTCGAAAGGAGGAAGAAGATACTGAACCTTGTTTATTGGGGCGACGTTATCTCTTCTTTATTTTATTTTCAAATTACTTAATGGAGATGCCCATTTTACAGCCTATAAAATATTGTAGAAAAAATTAAAAGGAATGGAATAATTTGGCCGAACCGTTATAGAACCGGAATACAAAGGATAGCATGACTGTATGCCGACGAATGTTAATTACACTCATCGGGTTTGGAATGTTATAGGTTTTCAGGGATTGTCTTTTGTTTTTGTTATCCAACAGTATCGGAAATACCTTTTTGGAATGGCATAAAGGTAGGAGGAATGGGTTCTCAGTCCGAAACGGCATGAGCGAAGGGGGGCAGATCTGAGATGTGCTAGCATACTAACCGGAACTGCCTCCCCATCCTCCGGCAACGCTCACGCCCTGGAGGTATCCTTCTTTTGATTTCCACTTCGCACTTGTTTGAAATCGCGTTCGAATACAAAGACGATGCGAAACTGTCGACGAACACTGCAAAACTGAGAGAGAGATCGAGACGAAGTGGGGACCAGGCTATCCATATTTAGGTATCGTCCGCAAACTGCTCCACCCCTCCCTCGCAACATCCTTAATAGAAGGAGTGAATAATAGAAAAATCCGCGCTTTATACATTAAACCAAAATACATTTTATACAAAGCGCAGAAGCAGCGTTTTAGTTCGACAGCCCCACTCGAGTCGTAACTTCATTTTATTGCACAAAATTTATTTTCTACATTTGTTATTGGTAAACGTTTCGCATTCCTAATTAATTTATATCTGATAATTATGCAGATAATTTGTTGAGAAGACGTGCTAAACTGTGTTAGCAAGGAGATATGTCAAACCTATTTGTCTTTCTATATTTCTGTGCTAATATATTTACAATAGGCTGTCGTTTCCTTCTATAAGTTTATGGTTTAGGGGGATTCCTGATTGACGATAGGTTGAGAGCCGAAAGATCGGGTTGTAAAGATTGCTATTGGATTTTTCAAATCGGGATTGGACGAGTTGTTTTACTTTAAGAATATAAAAATCATTATGCAAAGGGAAGTAGAAAGAAGCATTGATGATGATGAGGACTTTAGGTTGAAATGAATAGGTTTGAATTCGGTTTAGTTTAGACTGCTCGGAATACCACAGAGGTAGAGCTCGTAAGTCCATGTGGGTCTAATAATGATATTGTAAATTGATAAATTGAATCCATTATGTTTAGTGGCCTGATTGACCAAATTCTTTCAATTAATTATTCTTTTTATGTACAGTGGTTGAAATGAAAAAGTTAGTGTCAAGAGCGGGATTCGAACCCACGACCTTCGGGGCTCAATACGCCGCTGCTCTAACCACTTGAGCTATTGTGACTTCGTCGAAGTCTTTTAGGCTCGAACTTTTTCATTTCAGTCAAGACATTGCATAAAATGTATAAATTAAGTTGAAATATTTCCAGTTTGTGTACCAAGTATGCTGTCGAGATAGAAACCGAGACCGGACCTACGTGGACAGTTGAATCTTGTTGGTTGTAACAGGACTGCATTTATTTTTGTTTTGCATTCGAGCTTGATCTGATGGCACTGAAGGGAGTGCGACGCTTGAAATTGGAAGGGCGCTGAGGATAACCGTGTCATCGGAATAGGTGGCCGATTGGGTTTGGTGGACAATCGACTTTACAGGCATGCACCTTCAGCATTGTAAAGAAACAGACGGAAAAAAGGTTTAAGGGGTGGATAAGCTTAAGCTTGTACAACGTAAGATCTAGTACAATATAACCTGCGCTGGACTCGATGGAGA